AGTTTACCTTTAGATATTCGCCGCGGTTGCTGTGTAGTTGCTCAGCTTGGCTATGAGGGTCCTGCGTGTCCCAACGTTGGGAACAGTGTTTAATGCCACTTTTTATGAACTTGCTGTAACGTCTAAGAAGAAGACGCACGTAATTTATTGTAAACAATTGCATTATTTTATATTGCGATCGCATGGGGTTAGTATCGTTAATGTGCTTTGCAAATGACACATGCGACGTGTTCATGCAAACACGTTTACATTACCGGCGAAAAATTGAGTTCCTCTACGTCCTCACAGTACATTGTAACTGAAAAGCCGCCGCTTACCAAACTCTTCGCGATGGGGCCTAAAATTTTCCACAGTGCCGACTTCGATTTTAAATACGCAAGTGTCACCGATGGCTAAATTAACGATATTTACAAGGAGCGTCTTCCGTATCGTTGGTCCCTGCTCTCCTTGGAGTCTATTTGCAAGTCGCCCTGGCGAATACTGGTGTGGACAACCGTGGCATGGCTGCCCATAATACCCCTAGAAGACTGTGTAGATGACTGCGCAATATTGAACTGTGAATGCCTTTAGCGTAATTTACTTCTTATTTCTACATTGGTGAGCAACTCTTCAGTGCTGACGCAAGTAAGACTTTTCGCGCTACACAGCATTACCAAAGGACTTCGACGGCCTCACTCATCTACTTTTGCGTGAGTGAAAGTCCACTGAGTACGCAGGTGATCAATCCGTGTCAGACTCAAACATTATAAGACGTTGGCCACTGTAAACGTGAAATTCTACCCCTTCTTTTTGCAATATTTACTGATATCATAATTCACATCTCCGTACTTACGCTCGCATTGGCGCCCATATATTGTTAAGCAAAAAAATTTAAGTTATCATTTAAAAGCAAAACATTTGGACATTTCAGAGCACGGTTGAGCATACGCTCCATATTGCATGTATTAACAATGACTTTGGCGTGCACGAAGTCCGAAATAGTTTAAATAGCGATGTTTTCCGCCTATGATATCACATGATGTTGCGATTTAAGTACGTTAATTCGATATAAAATGCTACCAATGCATTCGTTCTGGTATCAGTGGTCTAAACGTTGGTGGCTGATTCCCCTTAGCATTTCAGAGTTTCGGTGCCGTTTACAACACTGTGAACTAGATCGATGGTAATGAAGGCCGTTAGTTTCAGTGGACAGTTGAACCGACTCCTATCTTACTTTTATGATATTTCTGAGGCCGCTTCGGCCGACTGCATATCACCGGTTGACCTTATCGATAATAGTGTCTTTTCATCGCAGACAAGTGCCAGTGGAGTTAATAGCCAACCAAATCCCAAATCTACGGTTTGCTTAATTGGCACTTAAGAACTGAAGATTCTATAGCCACCCAATGTAAGTGCCATTTATTGAGAAATCCCTTAAAGAGGATGTTTATTAGACTCGTTGCTTGTCTGCACCGCGTACTTAAGATATTGTGACGAAAGTCTCCTGTCCCTTCAATTTGGTCTTTTGGTTGAACTTACGCTAATTCCCAAGACCTGGATGATTTGGACCAAAAGCTGCGCGCCACCCTAGGTAACGAAAGTTGTCTGGCAGTCCAAGTGCAGCATTCTATATTCTTAAGCAAAGAGGTTGCGTCGAGTACAGAACCCAATATCGTTATCCTGACTGTTGTTCATTTCTGCGGCCTCTTCAATAGTCTTCGCACCTCTTATAGAACATCGTGTTTGCGCAAAAAAGTTTAATTGAATTCATGTGCCACTGATGTTTATCGATGTACGCTATAGTACTCTGTGTGCCACGTAGTTGGGCGGTATGAGCGAAGTAACGTAGGACTGTCTGGGCGCCGCTACTGACATTAATAAAGGTAGTTCCCTTGACCTTAATTTGAGCTTTTGTCCTGTGTTTCATGAGAGTGAGCTTGAGTCAGGCAAAGCTCATATGGTCACACTCTGCCAGGAACCCCCGATGAACTGTTTTCGGGAGTGCTAAGCCCGATTTGTTTAAGGCTAATAGGTGCGCCATTTATTTACCCATCTCTCCACACCAGCGGAATCTGTTAGGGAAGACAATTTTATTTCTTTAACGGCACTGCCAAGCAGACTTATGCTACAGTAGCATATATGAACTAGTCTATCACGTCTGCCTAATATTGACTTTCCACTTGGCTGTTTCACTAGTCCATACACGTGAACCCCGTTTCATCGACTTGCGTTAGGAGCCCATGTAATCTATCAACTTAAGACTAGCGATACGCCATAAACTAGAAGTGCACAGTGTGCGAGTCGTAAACCATAAGTGCAGCAACACTTTGACCTCAGTGCTAATCTACAAGTGGCGTCCTCCTAGGACCTAAAAATTCCACGTCCTAAGGCAGAAGGAAACATAAAGTTATAGGAGAGGAGCAAGTTGATATGCGTACTTTACAAACGCTTAGATTTTGAAAAGGCATGAAAATGCATGAACGAATTCCCGCCACTTAAGTAGGTATCTTAAGTCAAGGGATGTTCGCAGCATGTGAAATTTGTTGGAGCTGTTCTCACTACCCTATTCCCTCCGAAAGGATTCTTCTTCGAAACTCCGCGAAGCTCGTTGTAATATATCTATTGCCATCGAACTCTGATTATAACAGATACTTGACCAATCAGCCCTTCTTTCCGGTCCCAATGTCCAGTTACACGTTTGAAAAAATCCCGAAACTTGTAGCCTTATACTCAGCTTTGTCAGGGGACAAGTCAATTATGCCATTTCCTCGAATGAGACAGTGTGTGCTGGCTGTAACATCACAAGTCTTTTGGGCCACCCATGAACCCTGTATCTGCATACTGGAAGAGGCTGACCTGCTCGACTTTTCATATTAAATTTTGGACCGGGCCTCTTAAGCTTCATTCTGAAAGATTTATTCGTAGTTGGGGGATTTCTCACTGATGAGATTAATAGGCTGGCTCTCGTCTGCATTTCTCTTCAGAAGGGTCCTTTTGAGGTTGAGCACAAAGAGCTCAATCAGCGCAAGCACAGTCTTTCATAACAACAGTTCCCAGGTCATACCTTCAGTTTTATTCGGTCCGTTGTAAGTACTTG